AAAAAAAAAAAAAAAAAAGAAAAAGAAACGAAAAAAGAAAAACGAAAGCGAGAAAAAAAATTATCTTCAAAAATCGATAAGGAAAAAGGAAGGAATATCTAATAAAAGAGAATGCGTAATTAATTAATTAATTACGCGTTAAAAGTATTCACGAAGACTGAAAGAAAAGAAAAAGATATAGAAACGATACGGATCGATACGCGTGGAGATTGTCAGAAATTGGGACGAATTCCCAATTGCATCGATAATTTAGAAAGAGCAAGTTCCGTTCTCTCCTGAAAATTTATTCAGGAAAGGGTGTTGCAAGGAAGAAGGGTCGAAGGACGGTCGGTCGGTAGGCGGTGGATGGTCCTCTCTCTTTCTCCTCTCGGATGGTGGAATTTAATTTCATTGAAAATCGGACGTCGATGCTTCGAGGCAAAAACGAACGTACCTTCTGCTGGTACTACAGCAGGAGGAGGAGGAGGAGGAGGAGGACAGTCGGGGTGACGTCGTGGGATTTGGTGGGACGAGTCCGCTGGTCGGGCCACGTGGCGCCATAGCGTGGAGGAGGTTGGTGCGCAGCCTGGTGTCCTCGGAAAATATCGCCAAAAATCGTTCGTGGCCTCGGCCTCGCCTTCCGCCGGAAATTAAAGATTCAACGAGTCGAGGGTAATTTTGGGGAGGGAGAGCGAGAGCGAGGAACAAGGAGGAAGGCGAAAAGGAGGGGGAGACGGAAGGAGAAAGGGGCGGGTGGACAAGGGTGTGAGACGGAGAAAGGGATGAAGGGATGAGGGAAAGATAGAAAATGATACGGGGGATGAAAATGGAAATCGATTCGGGCGCGGAAAGAGGGACGAAGAACGAGTTACATTCGGCGTCGTTAAGCCGATATCGACGGTTTCCCCGAAGGAAACGTTCAGGGAGGGTGGTTTTCTCGTCCCTCTTGGGGGGTAAAAAAACTTTACGGTCGTGCACTTTTGAGTTAACGCGATCATGACCTTGAAACTGAGTTTTAATTATTCCCTCGAAGATCGGGGTGAATTAAAATCGCGTTAAGAAAGATGCTTTCGCTGAGAATCTCCATGATCTATCTCGTGTGTTTGTAATCTTGTCGTCGAATGAATAATTAGATCAGGAATAATTTCGATTATCAATGGCTAAAGGTTATGGCTGTGAAGCGCAATATTGGAATAGTGAAAGATAATAGAAACTTTTACGAACTTTTAAATTTTGAAAGCGAGGCTCGATATCCTATTGATTAAATTGCGAAGAAGTTTCGATTTAATTAAAACCGTGCTTTCTTTTATACTCGAAATTAAGGACTATTAAATAAATTTGAGTCTCTGTATACTTTGACGAACAACAGATCTTTGTAATCGCTAACGATCAGAATAAATGGAGGAAACCATTGAATTTCTTTTTCATCTCTTTCTTTTCATCCCGATATTTCAATTGGGTTGATTGGAGATATAAGACTTTAAAATCCATGCTATTTAACACAGCCAGAGATTATTTACTCATCGATCTGCATTGCTCCTGGAAATGTACTACGTCCTTCCAGAATCTTTTTTTTCTTTTCCCAAAAATCTGCAATTTGATAGATTAGTGAGCGAGAGAAATAAGCGATAAAACCTGAAATAGTAAACGATTAAAAATTACCTTTTTTAATAGAACTCAATTGTTCAAGCACACTTATTATTTTTGATTTGAAAATTATTATTTTTATGTTGGAATATTATATCGTTTGAATTCAACGATATTCTTAAATTTTAAAAATTGGTTTTTATAAATTTCACAAACTTTTAAGATTGAAAAAACTTTGCTGATCGAATTAATCCAAGAAATGTTTAAACGTTTTATACCCCGCCGATATTCGAAACTGTACAAACTTATCTCCCTTAACATTATTATTCGATATTTTTCCGCGCAAAATCCTTTTCATTTTCGAAGAACAGGGGCTCGGCTCTCGTTAACGCAAATGAGAGTAACGATGGCGGCGAACGTTCGCAAAACTAGTTTGCGCAAAGTAATAAACCGAGTGAGCGCTGTGTTTTATAAGCGGATCCGGGCCGCGGACAAAGGGATCCTGTTATTGTTAATTTAGTATAATTTGCCGTGCGGTGAGGAGGCCGCGCCGCGGCTTAAGGGCAACGGTGGAAAAATTAGCACTTGTTATCTGAAATAGCCGCAACGGTGGACGGCGTCGGGCCGCGTCGGGACGTACAATGGGAACGGGGGAGGACAAAAGACGGTGAAATTTTCAGGTCTTGACGATATTACGCGGCGTGATTTAATTTCTGATTACAAGCGAGATTCCCGCCCCCCAATGTGTTACCGTTCCGCTTAATTAAATCATTACGGTAATGGCCGACGGGTCCTCCAACATTTCCTTCAACATCCCTCTAATAATTTTCGCATCAAAATTATTACATTGTGTAACAATAAATCGTAATTTAACGAAAAATATACCACGTTTCTTGCGTAAATTATCGAGCAAAGATCAATCGATCACAAAGTTCCATCGATACATCAATAATACAGCAACAACAAGATTTGGTGGACGTACGAATCGTTTAATACTTTCAATTGTTTAATCCAATTTAATCATGTTCACGAATCTAGAGTTCAATATTTCAATCTGAACCACGATAGAAATTTATAAATAGAACCATCTGGCAATTCTTCTTTTCCTTGTAATCATTCCTGTTCATTATTGTTCATTACATCGCTAAAAGATTCTTGACGTTCGACAGGAGGAGTGCTTCTCGATGCTGCAGGACCTCAGCGACAAGATAAACAACAAGCACCACGAGGTCCACACGCACCCGTTACTGTCCATCTTCAAGATGGCCGAGGTCGAGGTCAAGTTGCCGTACAGCAACGAGGTCGGGTGTCTGTCGGGGTTGTCGAGCTTGCCGCTGGTCGCAATACTCCTGCTGCTCACCCTGTTTCGATCGGCGTCCACGTGCCTGGTCGCCTCGTGACACCAACGGCCCACATCCGATCCCCGTCGAGACCACCGAATTTTCTCGAACGCCTAGAAAAAGCTGATGCAATGAAACGCCTCAGGAAACGCCTCAGGCGAAGCGTTTAAGGGGGCGCGAGACGGCCCTCGAGATCGATCATCAACGAAGTCGCAACGTTCGTTCAACGGGGCTCTAATCTTCGTGCCTCGTGGATCAAACGAGTATTGAGAAGTTTGAGAATCGTTGCCGCGATTCGAGGATCGTGCGTTTCTCCATCTTTCTCTACTTCCTCCCCTTCTTTGGATCCTCGTTTTTTTAATTTAATATTAATTTAATTTCTCTTATCGATCGATTCCTCTTCTACGACGCCAAATTGAATCGATTCCGATTTCTTTACAATATACCATCTCGTTTCTCTCGTGGCTGGGATCAATTTTTGTCGCGGGAGGACGCGAGATCTTTATTGCCGCCCAATAACGCGGGTGGCATCGACGAAACGGCCGTTCCGCGCGGCTACGTGGTCAATAATAAGAGCGATCCCATATGCAGGGAATGGGCGTGGATCCAAACACGTGGCTCCCTTTTAACCTCCTCGCTGCTGGATCAGCGACGATATTGCAAGCAAGAGATCCCGAAACGACCACGGTCATTAGAATAGCGCGAGGCATTTTCTTCTCGCGCTCGAAGGAATCGCCTCTCGATGACCCAGTTTAAAGGAGGAAATATATCGTGTATCGAGGATACGTTCGAAATATTATTTTTTTTTTCCTCGGTATTGTATTAACACGAATTTTTGAAATTTTAGAAATCCTTGGAAATTCTTCTCGCGGTTATATAGTTTTTATAAAGAAATTCCGTTTCCCTCGAGTCTTAAGTTTTTCGTTAAGAATGAGACACCGGATCCTCGAACGAATACAACGCGTGTATAAAGGAAGCACCGTAGTGAGTCTGTAAATGACAAGCGCTAATTTACCGTGTAATTAAAATAAGCTAGCAGAAAACGCGAACGCTCCTCCTGTATCGGACCATTAGGTGTTTATTAACATGTTGTTCAGAGCTAAATCTAAACGGGCGTTTTTGAGGCATGGCGCAAGAGGCTCGAGTGTGTAGATAACTTGTAGATTGTTATATAGACTTAATAAAAAGAGGGAAGGGAAAGATGCGAATGACGGCTGTTTCTCGCCGCGAGTTTCTTTTTTCATTTCCTAAAATTAGAATTAATTGTAAATTTAAAGAAAAATCGACGAAAAATAATCGTTTTTTCCAAAATTTTTTCATCCAGAGAGGTAAAATTTATATCTTGTTATTAGAATTCGTGAATAGGAAAAAAAAAAAATTTCGTGCCTATGTACAATTGATCGAGGAATAACCCGATCGATTTAATTATGTTTTTAACACGAGTCGACTGTTAAAACGTCAGAAGTTCGCGATAATTTTTTTCACAAAATGGTGGCTGCTCATGGGCCAGTAGCTGCGTAGTACGTGAGCGAGAGACAGCCGCTTTAAAACGGTCGATTTGTCAGAGGAGAGGAGAGAAAGAAGCGGAGTGAAACTTCTAAACAGGTTCCCGGATGCATGACGTATACAAACGACGCACGAGCTGAAAATTATTCAGCGGTAAAAACTCCTGGTTCCGCTCGTCGGCTCAATTATAATCCCGGTCGAATCGCGATTATATTTGAAATTTTTCAATAAATTCATTTTCAAAACTTTCATCTGAAAATTTCATTTCAGATTTATTAAAATTTCGATAAAAAAAAAATGGATAACTCGATTTCTGTTTCGATCGATGGAAAAATTGTAAAAGTATTTTTCCTAATTTTTATTCGAAGATTTCCTTTCGATGCGAAAAACGAAAGAAATAATTTTTCAGACAGTTTGATTGGTGGAGAAGTTATAGCGATTTATAATCCTGGAAATATAATTTCAATCGATAAATTCATTTTATGAGAATGATATTCCATATTTATTAGTTAAAAATTAATTTAGATGAAACAACAATTGGCAGATTCGATTCGTTCACGTTACATGAATTCGAAGAAGATACAAATACACCAGTTTCCTATTTGTATAACGAATATTTACTCTAATTTTGATTTCGTTTATCAAATTTCCTGATCGAATTTCCTAGTAGATTACGTATACGATAATTTTACGATATTTAAACGAAGTTTAAACAGTTTCAAACTCGAATATATATCGAATGTGTGTTCTAATTCAAAGACAAAAGATTCGAAAATTATCACGGATCGAAAAAGCGGTTTAGTTTCCGCGTGCCAAGCCGGAAGCCGCGGCTCGAGTTTGAAAAGAAGAATTTAAACCAGACGAGGGGGGCGACACGTTAAAGCGTGGGAAAGGATTGCCGACGAGTGTTAGGAACGAGGATGAAAAGAAACGACGCGAGAATGGGAGAGATTCGAAAATTTAGCGTGGAATTAATTGTGCGTGCATCCGCGCGCCTCTGTAAAAAGTGTGAAGAAGTGGTTGAAGAAGATTCCAGCTCGCGTTCGTTCGAAAATATATCGTTCTAATCTGGAAAGAATTTTTTTTTACTCCATATACGATCTTTAAAATCCTTTAAAAATATCGAAAAATCTTAACTCTTCTGATTTAAATTTTCCATAGATTCGATTTAATTCTTTTCATAAATAAATCAATTTGTTTTAACATTTTACATTGAAAATTGATTTATATTACATAAGAAAATATAAGATTCAAAAATAATAATAAGAAAGAATTTAGTAAAAATTTAGACGAATACGATATTTGATACCAATCACCTCGTTAAATACGTTTGAATTCCTAATATTAATCCTTAATTCGATTCACTAATTACACTCATTCTCCACGACAAATCCACAATACAAAAAAGTGAAGCTCGACTAACGGATTTATTTCAACGTCTCAAATGTATCGACGTACGACATATTCTTTATATCCTCTCCTTTATATTTTTCGGACACGTGGAACGTTCCTAGAATTAGAAAGGAAACCGTGGTCGCGAAAAACTTGGCGGATCGCGTCCGTGCAATTAGTCGAATTTCAGGTAAAGGACGAACGTGAGCTGGATCGAATGGTACGTGACGTGGTTATCGGCAAAGCAATAATGTATAAAGTTTACGATCCACGGGCACGTCGCTCAAAAACAGGGGTGTAGGTTGGGGGGGGTTAACGGTTTATATATCCGGGGCGAGATGTATAAATTATACACGTTATACATAACAAGCAACGTAGGAGAAACCCAAATAATAAATGTAAAACGCGTAAATGTATGTTAATTCGCGGCGAAAATCACGAGAGGAAACGAACGAATCTCTTCTAATGCGAAGAAGGTATCGAATAAGAGATTTCGAGGAGATTTGGAAAAACGAACGACAGAATCGAATATGTATGTATATGTGTGTGTGTGTGTGTGTGTGTGTGTACGCGTGCGTGTACTTGTCCTTTGTTCCGCGAAGCACGGAAGACTTTGGTCGGCCGATGGACGGCTGCTTATAAAGTACCTGTCCCACCGATAAGGAAAGATTCCAAGGTTCTCAGGCGTAATGGAACGGTTGCACAAATTTACGTTTGTACCTTGGGCACCAGAAATCGAAGCGGCACCAAACACGCACACCTTTGCGATCGTTTCCGAGTTTCTACGCGATTTACGTTCGGCACAAGTGTACATAAATTACTAGGCTCGCGTATATTCGGCAGCTTTCCACGCGGGGATACCATTCGTGTGGCCTAACTCGTATATATATATCGTTTATATTGTTTGCTTTCGATGTTTTATTTTTTTTTTTTTTTTTTTTTTTTTACGCACATTTCCGTGCTTCGTGGACAAGATGGATAAGAATAATCACGATGTGTATGTATAACGAGGAAGAGTAAAAAAGAAAAAAAAAATAGCGAATTCTTATGCCGGGTGTGTAAAACGCAGAGAGAAGAGTTGGCGAGGAATAAGTTCTTTCTTCCAATAAGTTACGCTCGTGGGTCTTCGTATGTAATTGCCCGATTCTACCTGCCACGATTCACTGTCGAGAATTTCGCAGATCAAACATATCCGTATGATGTAAGATGTTACTCGTTTTATCAACAACACTTTGTACAAATTACCACAATTTTCTCCCTTTTTTTTTTTTTTTTTTTTTTTTTTTTTTTTGTTAACTCGAAGATACGAAGGCTCATATCATACGATTACAAAAACGACGTTTCGTTGTTTTGAAGTTTCGAGGAAAGCTTCGAGTGCTTCGCGAAAAAAGAAGCGGCAATAATTTACAGAACGCCAAGCGTACAAAAAAAAAAAGTAATTAAAAGTAGAACGAGATTGATCAAGCAAGTTGTTTCAAAAACTCGTATCGCGTCGCCTCGAATGCGAGATCGACGAAAAACAATTCGTGAAAATACACGGTGGTTCCAATCGAACATATCAAGGCCTCTTAGAAGTGGTCAGCCAATAAGCGGTTTACTCTGGTTTCACGTAGTTTCAGTTTTTTCGATGCTTTTTTCGAACGTGGGGACACGAAAAACGTGCAAAAATGGCCCATTCGCGATCCGTTGCCATTGCTCCAGGGATTTCTTCGTGGTGGATAAACAATTCGAGACTTTTTGCTGAAGTAAAAAAAGAAAAGAAAGAAAGAAAAGACTATTTTGTTGATCCTTTTCTCATTTCGTCCAATCGAATGAAATTCGGTTCGAATCTTCGCCAACAAGTTAGCAATCTTATCGACCGAAAGCCTCGTTCGAAAGCCTCCCTACATATCTAGGGGAAAAACTCTGCGAGGAAGAAATACCTGAACATGGCAATACTGTTACCGGCAATCCCTACGTTTAAAAACTAATCGCGGATGTATTATCGCGAGGCGAGAAAACGCTACAAATGTGGCAGGGGTCAGAAAATCGATTTTCCACGTGTAACATACTGCGTGGTCCTCTCGTATTCGATTCCTTAGATAGTAAGTAAGCTCACTGAAAACGTTCCTGCTTTACCGACAGCGAGAAATGTATCGTCGTTCAGTATTAACCCCCGCTTTAGTAACTAGTTTCGTGAGAAAACTACCTCATTCTTGATACCGCGGCAGAATTCTAGATATCGACCAAGGCTACGCCAAGCCTTACAGATATATTTACCATGCATCAGTCGTTATACTGGTGAAGGATATTACATTTTTCTCAGACATTTTTATTTAGTTGATTAACAACTTTTACAAATATCAATATTTTGTGACTTAGAATTTATATCTTTTATAATCGATATATCTTAATTATTTCTATCCTAGAAATAGTTAGATAATTGTTTAATTTTTCGATAGAATAATGATGTCAATTCGCATAAGCCTCCTATGAAGGGCGGTAATTCCTCGAAGTTTTCCGTCGGTAAACCAGAACGGAAGCTCAACCTCTCCGACTACACACACTTAAACAATTACTAAACGCGCGCAATTATACATATATTACTGATGT